TATATATGTGTATGTATGTATGTGTGTGTGTGTGTGTGTGTATGTGTGTATGTATGTGTGTATGTATGTATGGACAGAAAAGAGAACCTACCTGCCCATCGTTTGAAGGATTCCTCTCAGGGTCTGCCCGCGCTCGTGGAAGTGGTTGCCACTGATACAAACACAACAACGAGGCTGGAAGACAACACAGTGACACACTAAGACACCAGATCTCTGCCAGGAGAGCAGAGGACTCATATTCAGAGCTAATGAAACAACTCTGCTTGTTTGTAACTTGCCTTGATAACGGTGCTCTCGGAGGCCAAACACATGGTCACAATGGAGCCGAGGGAAAGACCGAATATTCCCACTTTGTCCGGGACCACTTGAGGATGGTCCTTGACGATATCAAACGCCGTCTGTGCAGAAATAGATACACAACAGGAAAAAACATCTAATAAATAGTTTGCATCTGCAACCTCTTGAGTTTATTATTTGTTTACATATTTATACAAATACAGATGGTGTATTTATGTTGGCTTCATGTGCAATACATAGCAACATCATGCTCACCAGTGATCTTTATCACACATTTAGAGCTTGCTGTTTGATTGTATGGAGCTGTGTCCGTCAGTTCATTACGAGGCGCGTGACGAGGACGGGACCTCGCTACAACTCAGTTAGAAAATCAAATTAACACAAACCTCAAAATAGTTGAACTCTAGATCTGCAGACTCCAGCTCACCGGGGGAGAAATACTCCAGCGCTAAAGACACGTAACCGTGGGACGCCAGCAAGGACGAACGGTACTCTAACAGCCCTCCGCCGCCCCCCCACATATCCAACACCCCCGGGAACGGACCCGGACCTGAGGAAACACATTTTAAACACACCAATCACTGATCACGCAAAAATCAAACAGCAAAAGGGGATCAGAGGATGTCCCGGTCTCTTTCAGGTACCTGGAGGTATGAAGAGGGTCCCTCGCACTCCGTTCTCTCTGATATCGACCCTCCGCACCCCCGGAGCCATGTACCATCTCTCCGTGAGCACTGACGCCAGAGGAGCGCGCTCCCTGAAGCCCTCGGCCACGTGTCCACTGTAGGCCGAGATGTTGACCAGCATGGGACTGCAGACGTTCATCTTCCTCAACCTGGCGGGTAAAGACAAGAGCTCATCGGGGTTCACGGAGTAACAAGCGTCTGGAAATTAAACTCTAACCAGCTCAAGTTAAAGCTGTAGATTGGTATTTGTTTAATGTAACATTGTGAAAGGGAAACAGGGATTTTCTGCATCCACTCAGGTGTGTAATCAGACATCATTAATCATTACAGAGGTAAATAAGACCATTAATTGTAATATTTGTGTTTTACCTGAGGCCTTTGCGGCTGCCGGGGACGGGACGCATGCTCCACAACAAACCCATGGCTTCTCTTCCTGTGTACGTGCCCCCGAAACTCAAATCCTCCGCAACTACAGAATCAGTAAAATGTCAACGACAGGAAAAACAAAACGCACAAAATATCCAACTCGCAAATTAGCTGTAAAGTACGGAAGCCCTGAGAAGTGTGATTTATATAGTTTAAATAGTTTTCTGTCCTGTGTTTAAGATTTTTCTTTTATGGCCACGTTTTAGATTCTGTGATCGGCTTCAGTCAATGAGAAAAGACGTGTATTGGGGAAAAATGTCTGACGGTTTGGAAATCAAACTGTTTAATGATTTCTAATGCCACCTTTAGATATTTCTATTCAATGCTTTATCAATGTAACACAATAATGTTTTTGCGTTGAAATATCTGTATTTGGATTGATTGTGATTAAATCAGCAGATTCCTCATTAATATTTCTCTACATCTGAACCTGCACAGGACAGAAAACTATTTAGATCACACTTACTAAATGGATCACCAGGACCTCTCCAGGCTTCCGTAGGTAAGTTAATTATCTGTGGTATTTTTGTGTTAAGCATATGAGGCCAATTTAAAAACCAGTGTGAGGAGGAGGAGACACAAAGGAAGAAGACCCACCAGACACGGTTCCTGTGTGATCGCTGATGTAGTGTCCGTACGCCTCCCAGTAGTCTTTGTCCTCCGAGTGGTGGAGGGAGTGGAGCGTTACTGGACATCCTGGAGGCAGATTCTCCACCACGACCTTGAACTTCTCATCGACCAGAGCCCGAGTGGGGACAACGGAGAGGATCGGAGGGACAGTCTGAGACATGGCCGATAACTGTCTGTGGAGACACGAGCACCGGTTACAGGTTAACAGTCAGCCCCGAAACATATTTCAGCCTTATAATGCTCATTTAGGGTTAATCCGATAGTCACTAATTAGTCAGTAACCTAAGTAACTTGATTACTTTCTGTTACTTTTGGATAATCTCAACACAAATAAAGACAAGAAATATCAATAATTATTGATCTGATTGTATTCTATAAGACAACAGTCCTTGTATGTCCTGTTAAAAGAAAACCTGATGTATTTTAAAATTGTAATACTGCTAAATAATCCCAAATTTTACTAAATGTAACTGTAATCTGATTATCTCTTTCTTCTGTAATTGTAATGGATTACAGTTACCTTTGTTTGTATCCTGATATGTAACTCAGTTACATGTAATCCATTACTCCCCAAGCCTGACTGCTGACAGATTTTTAAAATTAGAACATTAAAGTTGCACTTTAATAATGAATGAAGGCACTAAAGCACTTTCAGTTTGTGTATTGATAGTTTTACTTAATGAAGTGCTGTAAGTAGCTCACCTGAGGCAGGTATGGCTAATAAAGTACACTGACCTCAGTGGGAATCTGATCAGATTCATCACACAGACTGTACTCTGTGTGTTGACCCGGGTCAGCCTGACACTGCGGTTAATATCCAGCAGCAGCCGGGGGGCCTCTACGGTCGCGTTGCGTTCAAGTCCAACATGTGAAAGTTAATGATCGTCTTTTTACGCCTGCTGTCAGAGACGATGAGAGTAAAAACAAAAGATTCCTAATCTGTAAAGAGGAAGCAGAGTCGAGGTTTCCAGAAGCTGGAAGATATTTTCAGTTCGGGGGTCGAACCCAGTGACCCGGTTTTGGTGCCCAGAAACTGGAGCCAGTGTCGGGGACAAGTGCAGAGGAGTTGATATTACTTTCCCAGTAACTAGTAGTGTAACTAATTACTAATAAATTTCATAATATTATAGTCACACCACAATAAATAATGACTTCATTATTTTAAAATGTGTATAAACTAAGAGTATACACATTTTAAAAGAGTCATTCAGTGGTCCTGTTGTCTTGTACGAGTGTTTAAATGAAAAGAATCTTTGAGCAGAGGTCGACGCACCTTCCTCCCCGAGGGAACAGAGACACCTGAACGAGCTCTCTGGTGGACTTTATACCCGTCTGCACACCTTCCTTTAGCAGTTCTTTATGGGACCGCCCCCCCCCGGGTTACCTCACAGGTGATGCTCGTTAATGTGCCAGAGTTCAGGACTCTTTAAGGAGGAAGACTGAGCAAATTATTCAGCTGCAGGATGATACATTAAACTGACTCTAAAGCAAATCTGAATATGGCGCCATAATTATAATAATTTAACAGTAAGAAGACAGTAAAAACTCTTACTATATATTATTTTATATAAGTATTACTTTAATTTATTCTTTTACAGAAATGATATTTCCATATATTCACGCTGTTCTCCTGCTTCAGTACGTTTCTTTTGTTTTTTAGATTGAATTGTAACGTGGCCAGAGGTTCAAAGTTCGAGGTCCAACAGTCACACTTGTGCAAGAACATCACGTTTTTTGTTTCACACAGAATGTCATCAATACGTAACCAATCATCACCTCCAATTAATCAATAACCACTCAATATTCAACAAATCCTGCACGTTTAATGTAAAATAATCGATTAATATACAGTAATTATTACAGACGTTACTATAAAACACACAAATAATTAATTAGACAATCTCACAGAAAGTACAACAGTCTGGGCGAACTTCCCTCATTTATTGGTCATTTGTTCACTATGGAAGCTCAATGAGAAACTACTATCCCGTTACTATGATGAGTAATCCTTTTTTCCCCATCACATTGGCAGAAATGGGCTTCCATAATTAACTCATGAATCAAATATAAAATAAAATAAACGTCAGCAGCCTCTTTTAAAAGCTCCTTAGCCAGCCAGAGCAAGCTAGCTCGTCCACACTGATGTTCTGTCTGCAACAAAAAGTATAATTTCCACATTAAAATCCTTAAAACGTCATCAGACTCATTCTACCTCATTAGAATCTATGAAATCTGTCTGTGCACTGGTGGATCTCACTG